CTGTGTACGCTCGCAAGGGGTCGCTGAGGCGGAGTAAGGATAGAGTTCTAGCCACGAGGCGTGACAAAAAGTCTCTCAGATGAAGGGGCGCGCCTGCCTCGGTCACCAGGACGATCTTGGGACTATATGGCGGGTTTTTGTCCATGGCTGAGCCAAGCCAGTCGATGAGAAGATCTGTGACTTCGGAGGTGCTGCTAAAATCCTCGACGAAGACAAGGACGACCGTGCTGAATGGCGCAAGCAGCTGGTGATAGAGGGAGTAGGCAACCTCCTTCTGGCTATTTGCAGCGCATCTCATCTCATGCCTCGCATAGTCTCCCTTGATCGGACCCCCCTGGATACGCGGAGCATCTCGAGAGGCGTGGAGCTCGCAGTCGATCAGAAATGTCAGTGGTGACCCAAGGGTGCTGAGGGTGATAGCGCCTGATTGTCCCCGACCGGAGAGCACGGGGAAAGACTTAGTAAGAACCTGCCGCTTGGTTGCTTGTCCAATAGCCACCAGAAACTGCGGCTTTTCATGGCCTACTGCATCCAGCTCTTCATATGCGGCCAGGGTTTCTATGAGGTAGGGGCCTCCAAGCCCAGGAGCGCCCGAAGCCAAGCTCAGCCAGAGCCGCGACGCAGACATGGCGTTCGTTGCTGGTGGTCAAGCCTGGTGTCACAGCGATCGGGGCGATTACGGATGCAATCCTGGGTGCAATTCTGGGTGCAACTCTGAGTGCAATTCTCTGTAAGCCGTCTGAAGGCTGGTGATGCTGATCCACCACTAGGAAGGCCGTCACAATGAACCTTTGTGGAGGACACTCTACTATAGTATGGCGACCTACCCGATCTGCGCGCTGATTTTATTTTGACTTTTGGCAACTGATTTTCAATGCCTAATCGCGGATCAGATGTTCGATTGGCACGATCTCGGTGTATTGTCAGCAGGAAGCCCCAGGAACACAGGGCTCAAGGCTGTATCAGTCAGTACGAGCACATTGTTCGGCGGCTGCGTAACGCGCGATGCTGTGGAAAGCATGAAGGCACGATTTCTTTTATGCGTGCACTTTCAAAAGTGAAAAGGACATTGAATATTATTGCAAGAATATCTATACGCGAACAGTCTCGTCAGCTGCCATTATCATCTGCCAGCGGCGTTGGGCACGAGCGGCACATGGAAACGACCACGTGCAACTTCAATGACTGAGATATCAATGGCACCTGTGTGGCCTCTGGCTGACGTACGTCTAGCTAACGGGAGATCGCCGTATCAGGCCCTGCTGACAGCTCCATTGCGTCCTTGGGCCAGGACCGGGCCACGTTGTAAGCAATGTGGATGGGAGGTTCCGCAGCAGGAGATTTCGCCCGCCGGGTATGCCGTACGCACTGCCATACAACCAGAGCGCAAATTGCTACAAACATAGCGCTACCGACAGCAGCCCCGACCAGAACCTTGGTTGATACATGTGAGGCAGACACGTGCCTGGCACTTGGCTCCGATGAAGGTGTCTCCTGAGACGGACTGGATGGTCGAGTCGAAGATGTTGTGTAGTACCCCGCCGAAGACGTCGTGGAAGTCATGGAAGGTAGAACTGAGGGCAAGCTCAGCGGTGCATCGCTGGACAGAAATGGTTGGCGGTGCGTTCTGTTGCTATGCAATTTGGCCGGAAGAAGATCTCGCCGCGTGCAGCCGTGAACGCACGGGTCACTCGCGCAGCATCCTAGAAAGGGCGGAGTGATATCGCGGCATGTCCACCACACGGACACGCCTCTTGCGTCTGTCTTCGCAGTCCTGGGCCGGAATCGCAGCGTACTGATTGGCTGAGAAGGACGACGGGACAAGCTCGTCTGCTGGGCACTGGCCAGACCCATTGGCACAGGGGTCGGAAAGGCAGCAGCCAACGAATTCCGTCGAATTAGCTTCGCAAACGTAAAACTGACCTTGGTCCGGGCACCGGAGGCCCAGTTTGCCAGGTGCAACGGCCATCACGACTGCATTGACGATTGCTTGCTGATGCGGAGGCGGATGTGGATGGACCGGGTGATTTATCTCCATGGCTGGCTGGGGCTGGGAGTCTAGAAGTGAGAAGCGAAATCTAGCTGGCGTTTTGCCGCCTCGTCGTGCCAAGCATGTCGGGCGCCAGGTCGGCGCCTAGGCCCCAAGGAGGGTGCGCAGACATGGCTGTCGTCGCCCTTCACCACACGTTGAACAACGGGCTGCAGCCTTCTTCTGGCAGTCGGCAGAGCGTCATTGTCTGCGTCCTGATCTGCATGATCATGAGCATGAGGGCTGAACGGTGCGTCCCTTGCTTCGCTGTCAACTGATGGCGGCAGAGCCTGTCGGGCTGCCCCTGTCCGGGCCATGCTACGTCAGCCTTGACTTGAGTAAAATAGACTGGCACGGTCGAACCAATAATAAAATGGCGCAAGGCGCTGAGATGTTCAATCTGTGATGCGTCTCCGACCGTCGTTGCCTGCAGTACAGCTGTGGGGGTTGCGATAGATCTGATATCGCGTCCATTTGGTCATAACAGCGGGAGACCTTCCAAAGCATACAGCGAACACGCACAGAAGGCACACCAGGTGGGCTATCGGCAGCCGATGAGTCTTCGTCATCACACTTGCGTATGCTTGCCAGGTTGAACAGCACAAAGAACGACATGACAGAACCAAGGACCAAAACATCGAAGAGGAAGAAGCTGGCATGAAGACTATATTCACTTAAGTGCGCAAAGAATGGTCGGGCCCGCTGTCACTCTTCTCGTCTGAAAGGCATGTGATCCTAACGGGATGGTGGTACCTAGAAGCACCCGTCTCGCCGGTCTCGGGACCTTCCAGCCGGTCTTGGTGCAAAGTCAAGCCGAGCGAGACGATCTTGCGAACCGTGTCGCTATGGGAGATCGTGTCATCTAGGCAGAGAAGAGTAGGCATGGCTGATATGAAACGGTCGTCACAACATCAGGCAAGTGGCTCAGGAGTTTGTAGGCAAGAACAATCAAGCAAGGCCCATCAAATGAGTAAGCTATTTCGTTGCAAGCCTGCGGTACTGGGACTCGTAAGACCGACTTGAGAGGCTAAGGTCTGTTTTGGGCAGTTGATCCACGCCCGACAAGAGTGCACCTGAGGGGCTGGTGGGTATAAAGCCAGTGTACCCAAGAAAGGGGCATCGTCTCCCTTTACCGGTCACTCTATCCATACTCCTCTCGTCCATCCCCTCTCGTTACCATACCCTCTGTCCATACTCCTCTCGTCCATCCCCTCTCGTTACCATACCCTCTCATCATTCCCTTCCTCACCATCCCCTCTCGCCACCATACCACTTTAGTCACCACTAGATTTTCTTGTACCTGCCCTTCCACGATGCCATCAGAAAGGGCCTCCGGTGGTTTTCATGACCAGGACAACCAATTCTCTCACACCCGAGCTTCTTCAGGCGATACAGAGGACTTCACTAACGATCCCCGCTACCGTATTGTGAACCAGGTGCACCAGCAAGAGGAGCATGGTGGTGATAAACGCACTTCCGTCGCCAGCATCCGTTCCAGCGAACATTCGATACTGTACTACAGCGAACACTCAAGAATTCGTGACTCGAAGCGAAAGCGACCTGAGCCAGATGAGTCGGACGGGTCGCGTTCTCCACGTGCGCAACGTCAACGTGTAAATTGCGTCTCGGACCCCCAAGACAACGCCTATGATCAACCGTCGAGCATAAAAGAGAAGATTGGTCTTCCTTGGGGCGGACAATCCAAACTCCCACTGTGCTCGCAACCTCAACCTCGTTGCACCAAGGTGTCGGAAAGCTTCATTTCGGCTACTGCACATCCTGGCCCAGACGAGAACCACTCCAGGCCTTTCCCAGATGACAATATTGAAGAAAGCCAAATCGACGACGGCAAACTGCAAACCCATTCTCTGCGGCCTCTAGTGGCCTGCCCCCGTCGCAGCTATAGTTTAGCGACGGTCCTCAACGATGAACCAGGGGCTCGGAATGCAGAACGACACAACCGGTTACCACGTCGGAGAGATCACATACCTCAAGGATATGGTGACCATGTCGAACGTGGTCTTAGAGGCGGCCAAGAGGAAGATGCCCTTGGGAACGCCCAAGCCAAGGATTTCTCGGAGCTTCCGCCTACGTCTATTTCTGTACTCCAATATCCTTCTCCGTACCTAATTTCGGGCCCTAGTGGCCTCTCAGCGCAGTCTATCCAAGAGCTCCTCAGGCCCGATCACAGCCCTGTTCTGTCAACTGTGTCAGACGGTCCTCCATGCTTTACTCTATCTAGCGTTGTAGCGATCGCCCGGGATAAGCGGACGTCGGTTGCCTGCAAATACTGTCGCAAGAGGAAGGTGAGTCTGTTCCAGACGAACGCTCGACGCCTCGTCCCTTTTCTACACAGCCTCTCTGACTTGAACGTAGATTCGTTGTGGAGGACCTCAGTCTGGGAGCGAAGAGAGGTGTAAGAATTGCAGCAAGTTGAACAGAGAGTGCATCTTTGCACCGGCGTCCCCCATCAGCTTGATAGCCGTTACTCCTCATCCCTCCAGGTCTGCTGGAGGGCCGCTTGGAAGAACTATGTACGGGCCAAGTGCCCAGCCGCCTCCGTCCAACTCGACAGGTCTTTGTCAAGATACTCAACCGCCACGTTCATTGTACAACGGGACATCCTTGACTCCCACAATTCCATACCCGCTGGCCCCTGGTCGATCACTTGACCATTCATTACGCCAATCTTACGGCTACAACGAGGGAAGTATGGGCTCTTCACTACAACCAAGATCAACTGGGTCCGGTAATCCCCTGGAGAGATCCCATACAACGTCCGACTCCGATATACAAGGAAATGGACTGTCGGTCGATGCGCCGTCAAACATCCATGTGCCGGCCCCGTCGGACGGCTGCCCTCAGCGCTTGCTGCCAGATCAATCAATGTCTGTCTTGCCCCCATCTGCATTGCCTATCCTTCGCTCAGACCTGGGACTTTCTTAGGATCGACGACCTTGATAACGCCGTTTGTGGCATTGATGGGGCATTTCCTTGTCCTTATTGTTCCAAATCCATTGGCACAGAGAAAAACCTAGCGCGACACCGCCGTGAAGTCCATGGAGAGGGTGGGTTTGTTAGGAGCCGGTACTCCTGTTCAGAACCTGGGTGCTCTCGTGGCCAACAAAACAACGGGTTTCCACGGCTTGAGCAAGTTCAAGAACATTTTCTGAAAAAGCATCGAAAAGGAAAAAAGACACAGAACGGTACAAGGGCGGCGCAACCCGGTCGACAGGGAGGATTGCAAGCCAGGACCAGTGTTAAGGGGCCGAAATGAATGCCGGGATCAGCAACGCATCACAGCTAGGATCACTACAAATACGGCTTCTTGTTTATTTCGGGACGAGTAGGGACTAGGGTTAGCCAGCATCACCCACGTGAGAGACCGGTGTGCGGCTTCTAAGCCGACATCTGTCAAATCAAGCTGATGGGTACATATGACGAGGCGGGCAAGCCACCATGAAAAATGTTTAAGCGAGAAAAGGTTTAAAGGACATACACCGAGGCTGGAGATGGAGATCATCACTGAGTGAGCGTTTCGCATGTCGATGAGGAGTGGGACATCCCTTCCTGGAGCTATGCAGTCTCCTTTTTCGATT